CGGCAGCCCCCGGGTGTCCCCAACGGCCCTTCTAGCCCCATCAACGAGTCTGCCCCAGAGCTGCCGCAGAGACACAACTCGTTGCATAGGAAGACGCCGGGCCCGTTGCGAGGTCTCGCGCCGCCACCGCCTGCTTCAGCCTCCCCATCTCTCCAGAGTAGTCGCCCCCCTCCGCCGGCCAGAGACCCCCCCAGCAGAGGAGCAGGTAAGAACCTTTTGCTCTTTTAGTCCCAACTCCTTTGCGCCTGAGACTGAGAGCAGCCGTTGTGGGTCAGACTGGGGTCGCCTGCCCGTGGGGGTGGTCTGATGGCTGGCAGGAGATGCCTGGGGAAGAGTCAAAGCCGGGACACAGCGAGGTTTCTCCTGCACACGGCAGTCAGTGCAGTGGTTGCCTGAGCCAGAGGCAGTGTCTTGGACTGTCATGTTCAATAGATGTCCCTGGTCATGTCCTCTATTTATCCAGTTCCTTTTGTGCCTGTTGTTGGCGACGGGTTGTAGCTTGGCAGTTCTTGCACTTGAGGTTGGTGTGTCCTCCTGGGGGCTGGAGCCTCCCCCTGAGGTGGGAGGAGAGAGTACAACGGAGCCGGGCCTGTGCTGCGGTTTCTCTTCCTATGTCACCGAGGCAGTGACAGAAAGCTGCGGCAGAGCAGGGAGAAACGTTTCACCTGGCTACGCAGCAGGGAGAGCGTCCTGCAGAACCCAGAAAGTGTTCTGCCCTCTTTGTGGGCATCACGGCTGGTTTCAGCGCTAGGTGGTTTGAAGGACAGCTGGCGATAAAGGCTCTGTCACCTCTGATGCAGGTGCTGGGATTTTGGTGTCAGGCACCCTGACGGAGCCAGGCCATTGCATCAGGCCCCCTCTAAAGGAAGGCGGCACGTTCCCGTGGCCGATGCTGCTTGGGAAAATGTCTGAGCTCCCAGAGGCTGGCTGTCTCCCTGTCCCGTTGCTACCTGGGTGACTCAGTGGAGACCACTTGCCGTTCTCCCCGTGCACGGAGCTGGGTGGGAGTGTGTCGCGCTGCTGGGCATGGTGATGGCTTTGCCCCAGTGCCCCCGGTCTCCTGCGCGCTCCTGGGCTCCGCGTCCAGACTGCAGCTCCTGCCTGGTCCCCTGCCAAGCTGCTCTGTCCTTCCGGCCCTGCCGGAATCCCTCCATTGAGTTACAGCTGGGGATCTGCTATGTTAGTCTGTGTAATTAGCCTAATTAGGAGCATGAACTGCCCCTGTGCATTGGTGGGAGGCTGGGCAGGAGTGAAAGGTGGGTCAGAGGGGCTGTGGGTCCTGTTAGTGCTTTGGGAGCCTACACCTTGTTCGCAGTGTTGCCTCCCTGCCGCGGCAGATGATGTCTTGCCTCCATGCAGGGCCGCCCGCCCTCAAACCCTCGTGTGTGCGTGCTTATAACAGCGCTTGGCTCCTCTGCGGTGCAGAGAGTGACCTGGGTCTGAAGCCGCGAGTCTGCCCTGCCTTGCCAGGGGATGGAGCTGTGCGCGGCTGCGATGGGCTGGCAGGAGAG